CAGCCAGAATTCTTAAAAAAATGTTGTTTGTTACAAAAAGTTGATGTGTGAAAAGACCACTTCTTAGCTCAGTGTGGAGGATGGAAGTAAAGCTGTATAATTTGGCCCGTGGATGACTCAGCTTCCTCAGTCCCACATCACAATGTATTTATAGGCAATTATAATAGACTGCACCTTTATGGGGTCTGAGGAGAAAACAGCTCTGTTGTTCACATCAGAGCAGGAAGTTAAGGCAGCAATGAAACGAGCTGTTGGATCCAGTTAATGAGATTTCACAGCAATAGTTCCCAGAGATAGCTGAGTGGTTTAGTCCCATGCGTCAGAAACACATGTCACCCCAGGCCCCGGACCCTGGCCCAGCAATCAACTCTGTCAGACCTTGTCCAACTCACTAATTCACTATGCGCCTAATTAAGAATAAAAACTACAAGGCTATTGATTGGCTGTTCACGAGTAAAAGCTAATGAGACAGCTTTTCCTAATTAGGCATAGTTTTACTTTCTTTTACTCTTCATATAGTCATTAAACTGCAATTTATGTGTCATTGATGCTTGACTCCAATAGATAACCCAACATATGTAAATTCGGTTGTTTTGCAAGGCCACTTTTGTCGCCAATTTGTTTTGATAGCATATGAACCATATATATTCCTCTCTCTGATATTTATTACATTTCTGAGCAATGCATTGTTAATGTGCAAAACTGGGAAAATCTTACCGACAGCAGTAAAGCAGAGTCGATACAGTCAACCAGCAGGTCACTGGAATCACTGACCCAGTTCGCAGTTCATTGATTAGAACCTTGAGAGATAGCAGTGTCAGTCAAAGTTCAGTCAACCTGATTCCTAGAGCTGAAATATAAATGTGTGCATTCACTTTCGGTCTTTCCTTAAAGGCATTTATAGTGTTGCCCTTGTACACACAAAAAGTGACTTAAACTCCTCTTACTTTCTGACCTGTGCATATCCAACATGGTTTAACCAAAGCAGTGTCTGGTCAATCAATGGCTGCAAAGCAAGCAGATGGTGCTGACTTTAAGGGGAAAACACCAAAAGAACAAACCACTAGGGGACAGAATGTGGCTTCCTGCAGAACAGAACAAGCTGGTGAGTGCATCCCCTCTTTTGCCCAACGCCATAATTTGGTAAGTGCACCAAAGAACGTATGACACAAAGGTCTTCTAAAAGGCTGCTGCACAGTAACAAATCTCTGTTTGTATTGAACGCAACATGTCTAATCTTACCCTGGACCAAAGGAAGGCGAAACACCATTTGACATTAAAAATATATCATTGGCTACAGTATAAATATCCTATATGAATGTAATGAACATAATTACATACAAAGGATGAAATATTGTGTTTAATATTGAAATGCACTTATTGTAAGTCGCTTTGGATAAAAGCGCCAGCTAAATGAAATGTAATGAAGTAGGCTATGATCTGAAGATTGAAGAACAGGCAAGCAATGAAGAAAGTTACCCACTGGCACGTTTATCTACATAATGGAGTAAACCCAAATTGTCGAGAGACCCACGCACTCTCTACACATGGCATCAGAATGTGTCTCCTGTGAAAACTTGTGATAAGATCTCACCTCCAGCTCTTTGAACACATACATAATTTCTGCTCAGATCAGATTATGTTCTATTCATCGTGTGCGTTTGTGTAAACAGGGCAATCGATTGTGCAGAGCTTTAATAATAAGATTATCCACATTTAAAATAGCAAAAAATAAAGGGTGTGTATAGGTCAGATAGGGCATCATCCCCTCTCAATGAGTCATGGATGGTCAGTCGTATGACTCCCTGCTGGTAATCTCTCTATCTCAGCTACTCAGTAGGCCATTCTAACACTTGCAATCAATTGTGATAATGTAACTAACAATCAATAGCATGTTGCACTTTTTCACCAAAGCACATACGTAGGCGATCAGGTTGTTTGTGTCATGCAGCCAGAAACACACTTAAATTGCCACATTTTCAGTGTGAGTTGTGGCTGTTGCGTTGCTATAGTACAGAAAAGACAGCAGCGTTGAGCTGACAATCTCTCTAAGTCCAAGTATGACTGTGGGTTCTTGTTCCAACAGATCAGCTCAACTAGTACAACTGTCTGGAAGAATAAAAGAAGGAAAATACAGAACAGACCCATCGGCCATGGGAACAACTGACATGATCTCTTGGCTCCACAGCCTCCACAGTCCACTGGAATCAGCAGAGGCAGATGCAGTCACATTTGCTCATAATGAATAAAGAGACTGTTGTCACTGAACTCATCTTGGGCTGCTGGGGGGTGAGGGGGGACATGGTTACTAATTAGCCTTTTCCTTTTGAAGCTTGCCCTTCAAAATAGTGCACACATATGGGAATTTGAAATCATCACAAGCACCGCAGGAGAAACTAGGTTAGACGACATTTGTCTGGATAAGCCATGAATTATTGCAATGTTTTCACGATATGACAGGACAATGAGCAGGTGTCTTTGAGCCTCGAGCCCACGATGGAAGATCCACAGTCTAGCGGGAGAAGCAGTTGTTAGTGGTGTATCCCTGACTGAGAGGACAAAGCAGAAATAGCCGTTTATGGTTTTGCAGGATGATTCTTGTGGGACAGAAGGATAAGCAGAAGTATGAAGCAGAACACAGGATCTAGGTTAGGAAGAGGTAAAACAGGGGATGCCATACATTGTTGACAAAGGTCACTAGAGTGTTTTTGAGTGAAGTAACCACATGAGTGTGGTTACAAGGTCACAACAAGTCTGTAACACGTAATATTGTGCAACAATGCATAATCTTCGTGGGCCTTGGTGACCACCAATACTGATGTTTCATTCATTTCAAATGAATAAAATGTTTCCAAATTAAAGTCTTTACTAAAACAATACAGTATCCCGCAACCATTTGCAACTCCAAGTTAAAGAAAATGTACCCATAAGCTGATTTTAACTGCAGGGAGAGTTATTCAATCTTCTGCTATCACAATGCATCTACATTTTTAGTTAATGTAGTTTTGGAGCCATTCAATAACTTCTGCGATGTCTTTCCTTATCCTGACCATATTTGGAAGCAATTCAAAAAGATGTCTGTGCGGTTTCTGAGAGCACCCCTTCATTGAGAATTAACAGAACGTGAGAATGCCAAAGGGAATAGACAGATTGAAGTGATTTACATGAACAAGCTTGAATGATTCATGAAAACTGACTAAAACTGAACTTGTATTCTGCTGGTATCCTCGCTGTTAAGCTGTTTTCACACATGTCCTGTGGAGGAACTCTGGATAATTGGGTCCAGACTTTCTCTGTAGCTTTCCTTTCACACATGCACGACGCAGTGAGAAATTCTCTTCGCACACGTGCTCGTAACATAACAGGATTCAGGTGAAAGGTGGTGCAGCATGCAGAGGCAGGATGTAACATATTGATTCAGCTGCAGAGATCATGTGATTTTGTTCGGGGGAAACTGACACTCTTATCACCACACACTCTCTTGGCATCTTCGTTAGTGTCTTCTATGATTTTCATCCTGAGCAATTTTTTTTTTTTCATTTATGCATATGTTGCTTAAAGAAGCACCATCAACCCCTGACTCGCTCACAGTGAATTCTGTGGTGATCTCTTGCTGTGTTCTCACATTGGCTCTTCCGGATTTTCTGCAGACTACTGGGGGGGGGGGGGGAATAAGTCTGCAGAAACTCCAGAAGCTCTCAGTGGGGCATCTGTTTCACTCACCTTAGTGCAGCAGCTTTTCCTCCAGTCTAAAGTCAATGAACAAGAAGCGTACTGCATGCTGTATGATCGGCATGCAGCAGCAGTCTGCAGAAAGCAGGGACAGAGCTGAACGATAGGCTCCAGTACTCATTCATTAAACATAAACTTTGAATTGGTCAGTATGTCAATCAATGTCATTAACCTGTTGAGCACCAACAGTGTACGATGTACAACACTGTGAGACTCGCTCAGAGTTTCTGTTGTTCACACAGAGGCTGTAGGGTTCTGTTACTAATACATTCTGCACAGATGACAGAGAAGCTCCCGGGACCCACCTCACAGAACGACAACACGAGTCAACAAGAAAATGCTCCAGTCAGTACTTCAACTACCTTGTTGGTGTCACAGTCATTGTAGGTATCAAAGTCCCCAGACTTTAGACTCTTTAACCCAAAGAGATAGACTTGTTGCTGCCAGCCACCATCTCTGCTCGATAACAAAAGAAAGAAAACAAAGAGCTCCAGCAAAACTTAATGCTGCTCCTTTAGTCTACTCCACAAGGCGGGAAAAGTAATGTATGCATAAACGTGTAGTAGTTGACAAATGGGAGCCATGTGTATCGATGTTTATCTCCTCACAGATCCCAGCTCGGACACACTGGTGTATTAACACTTCAATTCCCAGATCCCTGCTTCCACAATTAAGACAGCACAAATGAAAACTCTGGCTTTTAAATGCAGTTCATTATGAATGCAGGCGTCTAGGCTTGAAGCTTTGACTCAGGGGGACATAAATAGTAACTAACACTTGATTTCCTTTTGTCTCCATGAAGGAATAAGAGAATAAATCCTCTGAGCATATACAATGTGACAAACCTGACTCTGGGCCCAGTTGCAGAGGACTCACTTCATCTTTGTATAACGGTTCACACAGTGTTAATGTCCTCTGCATTAATCCTGTCATTCAAAGTGCCTCCACAACATTTACATCCATCCAATTATCCTAATTAATTAGTCCAATTACAACAGGGCCAGTTTATTTTCCTGTGAACAATTACGTTGTAATGATGATCTGGAAAACAGGTAATGATGGGTAATAAGTGAAGCGAGAAATCCGCCTGGGGTCAAACAAAGTCAAAGATGGGGCGATAAACACAGAGGGGTGATGGGAAAACAGAGTGATGCAGAGAGAAGGATGGTGAAAAAAATGGAAATCAAACAGGAAGCACAGGAAATATGATGCATCTATGGGGAAAATACAGAGTCTGTCATGTGCTTATTTAAAGACAAGCAAGTCACCTGATGAGGAGATGAGTTTCCAGCTGATGGAAGGCTCTGGTTTACCGCTGGCTTGGCACATAAGGGTGACGTTGGAGCCTTCGTTTACCACAATGTCTCTTGACAGGTTGATGATTTTCGGCGGTACTGAAAGAAAATTGGAAAAAAACGCAACGTGTGAATATGTGTGGAGTTTGACAGACATGGCAGGTTAGAAAGTCAAACAAAGAGTAAGAATATCTGTGCATCTATTACACTTCGCTTTCTTGTACAGGAATGGTAGAAGATAATTACCAACACCACTAAAAAAGAATATGCATATCAAGTTTTATACATTTATTCATATCCTCATGGAAGACTATATAGAAAGTATATTGTACTGCAGGCATGACATCTCTTACACTTGACCTACTGTCTGTAGACCATGTTGTCGAGCAGAAATGCCCTTGCGCCCATCTGAGCACCCATAGTGCATTGCTTTGTTGGCAGTGGACAGTGATTAATCTGGTCTGTGGTGCAGTATTTGAATCTGTGGAGGTGTAAGCACACCTGGCTTGAAGAGAACAGAAGCTGACACTCTGATTTATTTATTACATACAACACCAAAATGCAACCCTTTGAACAATGGGTCTTGTGACATGTTTTCCTGCCATGAAACTATCAAAAGAGTTGAGTTTTGATCCCCTGCTACTAGTATCATTTGGGCATTTGATTTGACATCCGTCTTCATTTGTAATCACTGCCGATTTTATTTCTGATTTTAATCACGCTTGAATATTTTATGTGTTGTAATTTCTAATTGTTTTCAGTAGGAACCATGTAAGAGTGTATATATGTGATGTGTCTGGGGATTCATATATTTTGGTGGTGTGGTTGCAACTCACTTGGGCAGTGAGGAAAAAGTGTCAGTTGCATTAATTCGTCAGAAAATCCCCACCCCGTCCCACACTAACAAGTGCAAAGCAGTTTGTGATGAATAATGGAAGCACCTCACCAGAGTTGTTTCTGAACATAAAGATATGTGCTACTGTTACAACAGAGCAGACAACAGATACAACAAAAAAGATTTATATATTTATCCTCTTTTCGCAGCACAGAAATCAATAAAGGGAAATTATGTTTATTTGGGAATTGAATGGCTGTCATGTTTAATTCACTCTGCTTCATGGCAGAAGGTTGTGATTGTCTATGGACAAGTAAAGATGTGTTACTGAGCTTTGAATGCAGCAGGCACAGAGTGAGATACAGTGTGTTCCTTCCTGCCTTACTCCAGTGGAAATGAACTCCATCAATGGTTAACCAGCACTGCTTGTCATTCATGACTGGCTACCGTGGTTTGCACAGACTTTCGAGGGAGCAAGGGTGAAAAAAAAAGGGGCACGTCTACCACATGCAGACTTCTGTGGATTAGGCCACGAGAGAATGGAAGAGACACTCAGAGCAGAGTACAGTCCATGGAGTTACAGTAACCTTGCTGAGTGTCCCGCTAGTACTTGTTGGGTAATGTCACCAAACTATGTAAAGTACCTTGAGATTATGTGCAGTGTTTTGTGATTCCGCACCATAACTAAGGTGTGTGTGACAGGCACAAGGCAAATTCAGTAATAAAGGGCAACAGTGACTTTTACAAAGAGTCAAAAAGAGCTACACTAAACTACACATGGGACTTCGTGCAATAAACATGATGTAATTATGCCTATACACACTCGGCTGCACTGTTGTATTGCACATTGCACAACTATATATATACTATATACTGCTGCTCTTACTCTGCTCTGGCCACAGCCTCATCATCACCCCCCTCCCCCACCACCCACACACACACACACACACACACACACACACACACACACACACACAGACACACACACACACACACACACACACACACACTGTTGCAAATGGGCAGTGAATTAAAAAGTGAATGCAACAACAGGCAACATCAGAGCCTTTAGAGGCAGACTGTTATCCTGAGAGACACCTAGACTTTGTCACTGTCTAATTGTCGACTATCTTTAGCTCCAACAGATCAAGCACTGTTTGCCTTGTTTGCCCTGACAGCACACAACGGATGAGGAACCCTGTTCCGTGATTTTGTTTAGTTTCTACAACTAAACACAAAGAATTCTGCTCTCACCTTGACTACACACTAAAATCTACTAATCAAGCCAAACTTGGTGTGGTTGTGGTCTCCGACATAAATGTTACAAGTCACATACAAATATCTGCCCCAAAACACAAAGAGCATTACAGAATGTCTGTCTAGACAAAATACAGATCAGCAGGTGAGAGTTTTGTAACAGTGTCTTTACCGGTGTTAGTGAAAATCAACCAGGCAGCCGCAGCTCATCCAGAGGCTTCACTGACACTAAGAAAGTAGAGCACATCATGCTGGTTCTGGAGTCACTGCACTGACTCCATGTGTGTCAAAGGATTTTAAAATCCTATTACTAGTCTATGAAGCACTAAATGGTCTCTGACCTAAATACATCTCTGATCTGCTTGTTAGTTATGATGCATCCAAACCCCTCCGGTCATCTGGGACAACTTTAATCTTCTCAGAATCAAAACTAAGCAAAATGAAGCAGCTTTTTGTTTCTGTGATCCCGCCAATTAAATAATCCGCCTGAATATCTAAGGTCTGATGAAACAGACAGCTCATTTACATCACAACACTTACCAATCTTAAATGATTCCTTTTCCTGTCATTGCTATTGTCTTTTAATTACATTTTTAATATTATATCTCATGCTTCTGGAAACCACTTTTATCTGAACAGTGCTATATCAATCCCTTGCCTATATAAGGGTAACCAAAACCTTCCTTTCTGTAACATAAAGACAAACTCAGCTAAGGCTGTTTATTTCTCCGCTCATAGAAACACAAGGAAAGGTGACAAAACATATTAGAGCTACACAAAACAAAGATGTAACTTTATATTATTTTATTATATTCGTTTATTATTAGAATATATTCAACTATGACCACTCTGCATTGGAATGCATTGTCAAGAACCACTGTTAAAATATTGAGTTTAATCAATATTTTAAAAATAACAATGTGAAATCAGTGTTTGAGGTAAACACAGTCGCTAATAGTAACAGTGGCTCTCTGGTCTGCAACATAGCTTGTCTGGTTCTCTCAGCACCAAACAGCAGACTGAGACTGGCTGGTGAGCATTACGCAGTGAGACACACCAGATATTTCCCTCAGGAGTTGGTACATACCAAAATTTCATCAGCTAGCCAGGAGCAGAACTCAAAATGAATGATCATGTTGCTCTGTAACTGCTACCGGTTTGTCATATCAACTTAAATGGTGATAATGTCTGTGTGTGTGTTGCGGTTGTAGCCTGTTACACTATACCCCCCACGTTTTTAAAGTCTACCTATTTCAATTATTTCCGTTTGGTATAACTCACTCATTCGTTTATTGACTTAACCAGGGAGGATTGTCAACCAAGGAGAACCCCCCTCTCCCCATCAGTTAAGGCCAGTTGTTATTATTTGCTTTTGTAACTAGATGTCTAAAGATTGACACTGTGTATAGATTGATCTTTAAACTGGCAGAATTGTTTGTCGACTCTAAACAGTGCTTCTTCATGCTTCATTACCCTGCGTGCAGTGTGTATTGTTTTCACCCCTGTCTGTGTGCATGTGTGTGTTCAAGTGTGTGCATGCATGCAAGCAGAATAACTCAACAATGCATGGAGAGATTTTCACCTGACTTGGTGTGAAATCTCCACATTAACTTTTTTAGCCAATCGTTTAGGTGTGTGGGGGATGGGGCTGAGGGACGGCACACTTGTAGTAAAGAACTGAACGTGCACAGTGAAGGCAGTGTCTACTGACTTTATGCCGAATCCTGCCCACATGCAGAAGATGGTAAAATCTTTCTGGATGGCCACTGTCCAGAGGTCAACAAAGCCGACAGCATTACTCGCAGTGTAGTTGATCAATCTGACTGTGACAGAGAGGCTGTTTGTGTGTGTGTGGGGGGAGAGAGAGAGAGAGAGAGAGAGARAAAAAAAAAGAAAGAGAGAGAGAGACCTCTTCTTCAATGCCATTCTGTTTCAAAATTTAAAAATAAACTGCGGATCCTGCCATTTAGTTCAGTCAGGAACACTTTGTCATGATTTACCCATTTGTTGCAAATGGGGATGCAGTTATGATTGGTGCTGAGGGCTCCATTCTTTGGATGTTCCCTGGATTAGCCCACTAGCGTGCTAAGATAAAACAGGGAACATATGCAGAACCCCCTGGTGGGCGTAGCAGGCAAGATACGTTTGTTAAAGATGAATATCGTTTACCACGACCGTTTGGACTTGGTGCTAAAAGGTGGAGGCTGGGGTGGTGGAGGCAAGTTGCCGGCAGCAGGCGTGGGTGGCAGTGTAGCTGAGCAGGGATCAGTGAGGATGAGGTCGTATTTAAAGGGACCGCTTTGGTGAGAGAATGGGCTGTGATTGGTGGGTGACTGACGAGCAACCATAAATCGGTAGCTGACAGCTGAGCACATGACTTTGTGTCCTGCATGAACTAACGCAATGCTTCATTTAGCAGCACTAGTGATAGAATGTTCACCTACACTGCTCTATCTGCACACACAGTACTCTTGTGCTCGACACTTGTTTTAAAAGTGACAGCACCCCATTCATCCCCATACAAATTGTGTAGTGGCATAACTATATGTTTTAAGGTGTTTACATTTTCTGTCTCTTGGTTTAAGATAAGATAAAACTTAACTGATCCCACACTGGGAGCAGACAAGTCTGCTGCTATAACAGTGAGGTAGACAAGAAAATAAAAATACAAAAGAAGTCAACAGAAAAAAATATATTAAAAGTACAGAATATATATAATATACACCTTTCACTTCAGAAAAAATAGTATTTGTATAGCCAATAACTATTTCAGTAAAGTGCAGTCATACAGGATGATTGCACAATAATGTAAAAGCATAAGGTGATATTGAGATCTGCAAAAACATGAGTGATAAAAAATAATTTGAAATAACATGGTATTGCCTCCTACACCCTCTCAACACTGATTCATCACCTATCACTTTGTCCAAAGATGGTGATTCAACAGCAAAATATTGGTTTTAGCTTCATAGCTTCTTCTTCATACTGCGAGCTCTGCCTGAAAACA